CTGTGTCTGATATGTCTTTGATGTGGGTTTATGATGGGCCTTTTACTGTCATCAGCCTGGCTGTACCGTAATAGGATCTTCAACCTAAATTCTCGATACCATATAGAAAACATCCTGGCAGCCATATTGGTCATCTTTGACCTTCCTTTGCCCTTCACCTGACACATTGACTGGGTCAGAAACTCTAGAGGGTGTCTGAGCTGTTCCAAACTTTAAACTAAGTGTTGTATGTATTGAGTTTTGAATCAGGACAGACAATACATACTCGGACCACTTCGGGAGAGCATACTGCACCTGCATTATTACCTTCGCCAAGAAGGTTATGTTTTCAGGGGCGTTCGTGTATGTGTGTGTGTGTGTGTGTGTCTGTCTGTCTGTCTGTCTGTAAACACGATAACTTGAGAAGGCCTTGATGGATTGTCTTCATACTTGGTATGTGGGTAGGTCTTGATGAGACCTCAAAATGATTAGATTTTGGACCCCCTAGCGGCTTGTTATAGTACTGCAGCTGAACTTCCGGTTTTGATATCTCATGATGTAGACATGCTATGGTGATGAAATTTAGATGGTAGGTAGCTCTTGTGCTGGGAAAGAAGTGACGTGAGTTTAGGCCCCCTAGCGGCTTGCTCTGGAACTGCAGGGATAAATTCTTGAAAATATTCAACAGGGGATAACTCAAGAACCGATTGACGGATCGTCGTGATTTTTGGTATGTAGGTAGCTTACATGATGCTTAATATAATTATGTGACAATTATGCAAATATGGATGTAATTTGCATAATTTATGGGGAAATTCTACAAATCAGCTGTATTCCATTATAGGACGATTGAAGCTTGTGACATTGGTAATTGACAACGAGAGAAACACAGGAAGATGTTGATTATGTTAATAATGACTTAATTTGCATAATTAATGAGAAAATTTTATAATTATGTAATGATAACTGCCTGGAATTTCATACTTGTGGTATTTGAAAGTTAAATTGAGGTGAACATCATTAAACATAATTTATTCAAATCAGGACCTCATTTGCATAATTGTTTATTAGGAAATGCTAGAATGCATTCTTTGTTAATATAAGACTGTCTTCTGGTTGAGATTATGATAAAATGATATAATTCATGAAAATTAGGTTCCTATTTCTTAAATCAGGGGGGAATAATCTATTCTAAACTTTGTCATAAAGATTAACATCATTTGGCGAAGGTATGAGATCGAGGAACTCTAGTTTTTATTATAATTCCAATGACGTCAGCGGTCCCTGATGTAATTGTATAGAACACTATAAAAATGATGTTATCCTTAAATATATAAATATGACCTTAAACAAGATGTTCTGCTGAAGTTGAGTACAATACATTTTCTTTCTCTTTCTTTCTTGGCAATGACAACAGGTCAAGACACAGGTTATCAAGGCAGTGTTAACTGGTATTAGATAACCCGCAAATACATGTACATTAACGTGCAGACGAACATGAAATAAGAAATGTACTATAAATACAAGACCTGAAATAAAGATAACATATTAACTGGTTACAAGGTACAATATTATAATACATAATATAAGAAAATACAAGACATTCCTAACTAGCAGCAATATAGTGCAAAGAGTGTAGATACTAAATT